TCATTCTACTTGCGCACGACCCAAGGCTGGTCGTACCGAGTTCCTCCAAGTAGTACATAGTAAAGTGCGTAGCCTGAGGAACAAGAGGTGCTAGGTGGGTCTGCTCGTAGACAAACCTCTTCCAGATATACTTGCTCTCACTGAAACGTGGCTGTCTTAGGAATTACGGATGGTGAAGTATATCTGACTGGCTAAGCACTGTTCCTCGTGGATCGCTCCATTAGCCATCAGGGGTGCAGTGTAGTTCTTTATGTGAATTACCGCATCAAGATTTTGAGGCCCAGCGTTTTTCGGTCCCTCGACAAATCTGTTGCAACCCTCGCAGTCTTTATTCGGGCTCCTTCTGTTCAGGTTACATTGTATTGCTGCTTAGACACCCTATGAACGCCTCCAGTGGAATCACTGTGTTTATAGGCAGTCACCCTGTGAACACCTGCCTGGTGCTGGGAGACATCAACCTCCCAGGTTTGTTGAGGTGATCTAATTTGCCTTCTGGCGCTGGGATCGTTGGGTACAGAACTGCTGGACCTACCGCTACAGGTACCACTAAACCAGTCTGCGGACCTCCCAAAGGTACATGAGAAATCAGCAGCCGTTCATGTTAGATATTATTTTTGCTAAGCCTCTTGCGTTCGTAAACGATCTTGCTCACGACTCGCCCCTTGGCGCCCGCGAGCACGCTTGCTTGTCTTTCCAGTGTACCCTTATCAGGCCTAGCCAAGCTACTACCAGTTGGTATCCGAACACCTAAGCCGCAGAATTCCAAACGGTGCGGGATAAAGCTAGGTCATCGCCTTGTGTGAGGTCTGAGACCGACACGGTTCACTTAGCCTGAAAAACGCTCAAGGCGACCCTCGTCGACATTTCTGCATCTCACCTTCCACTGGTAAAAAGAATGGAATGGAGAGCGCAGCGACAGTGGAAAGATTCAGCGGGGAAAGTCCTGCTAAAGAAGCGGTCTAGGTGCTGGCGAGCGTACCGAACAGTTTCGTCGAGCAGCACGTTTGAAAAGTATAAGATGGCTCGAAATGTGTGCAGACAACCTCTCCGGTTGGCGCGGTCTCAGTTTGAAGAGGCTGAGCTGACAGCGTCTCGAAAAATCCTGGGATATACTTCGGTTACGTTGAACGACTTAAATAACTAGATAAACTAAGTATTTTATTCTCGACTATGCGAGGCAAGCCCATGGAGGCATGATCAGATATGTTCAACTGTACAGACATTTTATGGCAACTATAACAGTGACAGTAGAAAATTGTCCACACGTCCACAATTGGAAGAGTGCAATGGTAAAAATGCGAAATAGTAATTGGCCTGCCGTGAAACCGCGACCTGGGCTAATAATAGATGACCAAACCTGAATGAGCCATTGGAAGATATTTGAAGCACACGCTCAAGAGAGATATGACAATACAGTGAGTTCGTGCACAAGTAACGCAAAGGTCAACGGTGATATCGCAGAAAGCAAAAAGACGACAGTATTTGCAGATGTAGAACTTCCAGTGTAAGAAAAATATCTAGGATGGTGGCGCTATTTGACCTGCCAGTGTGAAGTTATGGGCTGTGACATTATTCGTTGGCGAGTCACATTCGCCAAGTTGCAGTGTTGTTAAACGGATATTTGTGGCTTTTTATAGGGAGAACGCTTGCCAGGCGAAAACCCACCACGTCCTGAAACACTGCCGCCAATCCATTGAATGGCAGGTTGTAACTGGCTATGTTTCTGGTTGAACGTTTGTTTGCTCGGTTATTCGCAGTCAGGTTGCGTCCCAATTTTCTGCCGGCTGATGCGTCAGCCAGGTGCCTATTGCGTTCCTGAGTCCTGTCTTTTTGAATAAGACGTGTTGATTCTTTGCAGATCCACATGAAGTCTCCGTGGGTTATACATTGAAATGTGTTGAATTTTTGTTGAAGTTTTGAATGATAGAATATGGTTCCAAAGAAAGAATCGCAGATCCCACTGGGTATGTAGTATAACTGATTTGAACTATAGGAAACCACGGCCAATTTAAGCGGTCAACGCGGATTGACGAGCTAATAATGACCAATTGTTCTGGCTTTGGATCGCAGGATAATGTGCCTTCCGAAGTCAAAAGTATTTCTCGAGGCAAGAGTAATGTGGAAGAGATAGCGTTAGGCGAACTGAACTCAAAGGTTCAAGCCTATGAAAATTTGTGTCCGTGCAGGATAACCAATGATTTGTCCGGTTAGTAAGTTGTAAAATGGTTGATAATCTTCCGCTCATGTCCAGATAAAGGAAATGTGTGGCTTGTATTGTTGTCGCAAAGATGGACACTTCCTTGGGTGCGTGTCTCCGTACCAATGACAAATTCGGGAAAGAATAGCGAACGAACAGAAACGGCCACAAAGCCTAAAGAAACGGGTGCGTCTGGAATGCAGTCGATCAATTGCGACGAGGACTGTACTAATGTACCCTATACATGTAACTGTTAGTTAACTATCGCATATACATGTGTATCATAAATGGCGAAATACGACGAGAAGCGAGCAGAACACGGATCAGTAGAGAATGAAAGCTTGCTCCAAAATAAAAATGAAGTTGAAGAAAATAGAGCTTGAGGGGTCCTAATGCGCATATGCTCAATCGGTTGGAACCAGAGAGAGGAGGACGTGTTGTGCAGATTGTGGGAAAGAATATCACTCAGAAAAAGTGACAGGGAAGAATTACCCCAGTCGTAAATTGGTAGGAATCTACGAAGTCAGAGAGGACAGACGCATTTAAGTTAGCGTCGAATGAAGAAGGAATGCAACATAAAGCACAGGAAGGAAAAAAAGGATTGGTAGAACAGGTTCTTTTGAGGAGAAGTGGAAAAGCCGCCGACCTTCTTTAAGTGATAATTCATCCTTGTTAATAAAAAAGGGTGAAGAATGCCTATTGTTGTAATTAAGGTGAGGGTAACAGCGTTGCGTCAGCTGTAACTAGATCAGTTATATATCAGAATTCAGAGAAGAGTCAAAAAACAAGAAACCGTTCAGACAGAACCAGGTAAGTCAGCAAGGTGAAGCTGGGCCGCCAAATATAGCTAAGTATAAGGTAATGAGTGTCACCATGAAGGAAGCAGTTTAGGACGAGTGACTATACGCAACGGCAGTTAGCCTCCGAGTGATGTGAACAGGCCGTTAGATCTGTTAGAACCTGGACATAAGGGACATAGTATTTCAAAGAAAGGAGACCAATAAGACGAGAATAGAGTGTCGGCGCATGGAAAGAAAGCCGTATAATTTAGATCTGAATACTCAAAGTGAGCATCGGCATAAAGAGAAATGCTAAGGATGAAAGTGGGATATAATACTAATGATGAATCATGAACAACAATGCTTTTGAAGCGAAGGTTACATGGCGGTACGTCGGCAGAGCCTAAGTCACTTAATAAATAAATAGTATATTCACAAATTGGTCGAGACACACCAAACCAGGCATGATCGACATTTACACGCAATTACGCTTTGCAACAAACACGTTGCTAGGTATGTAATCGGCAGTAAGCCGAAAGTAGTACAGGCTTTGTAAATTGTAACATTAATCATAAGGAATAAAGTCGTTAATGCATGACGACTCGTTGGGTTCTAGAGTGCGTGGTAAAAGCATTCTAAGCATGGAATGTGTAATAAAAGCAATACATGTAGACAAGGAGTATCTTACTCTAGATCGTGTCAGGAAAATAATAACTTATGCTTCTAGTCGACTTGCCAGTATGTAGTTGTGGGCAGTGACTTTATTCAGTGGCGAGTCACATCCGCCACGTCGCAGTGTTGTTAAGCGGACATTTGTGGCTTTTTATAAGGAGTACGCTTGTCAGGCGAAAACGCACCACTTCTTGGAACACTGTCAGAAAACCGTTTGTACATTAATGTAAAACTGGCAGAGCAGCTTGCCGACTGATTTCACCCTCGGTTATCCGCAGTCAACTGACTTCCAATTTACTCTGTTACTTGATCAGGTATCTTTGGTCAGGGCGACCATAATGGCTGAGGCTCATGAAGCGTGATACCTTCACGAAGAGTCGTCTATGTGAGTGTCCAGGTGAGCAGAAGGTCAGTTTCTTGCGTCTGGATTTTTAGGTTTATGTATACTTTCCAGGAGTGTGAAGGCCCCGAGTCCAACTATCGTTAAAGGAAAACGGTCGTTGTAGCGACTTCAGTTGTATCCATTTGTTGTACAGGCATGTTCTTTGTAGATCCTTGTGGGTTATGTCCTGTCTCGGTCAAAATCTCTTTCTCGGTTCATCCCCAGATACCCAAGAAGTTCCGGACCTCGGAGAAAAGGGAAGGTGAGAGACAAACAAGGCCGCAAAGAACGGGCGTGGAAACAAACATTGTTTAAGTCATATGGTCTAACATTTAGCGGAAACAAATGATGTGCAGTGAGCAACAATGATTTTGCTGAAAGTGTCTTTTGAATGTTCTACGAAAGCAATGGCCGTATAGGTTGGTTGCTACCGTCTACATGGAGTAAAGAGGGTTGCGCCATTGAGCAGAGAACGCGGTATCGGCTTGCTATGACGCAACTATTGCGTGGGAAGACAGAAAGAAGAATTCAAAGAAAGACCCATGCGATAGCCCAGAAAACATGACCTTCTCTACTACGCCACCAAACTCATCGCCGACCAAACATAAAGCTAAAAAACGAGATTGGGACAGGAGAGGGGGGGGTGGAGAGTGTGGAGAGAATCATCACATCTCTATACTCTAGGACTTGCGGTGAAATAGAGATTCAAAGGTCAATCACACTATGTATACTGTATAGAAAAACATGGAAGTATCTATGATGCGGGGAGGATACGATTCAAGCGCCTGTGGGGAGGTATTCTTGGGGGAGAGGGAGTGAGACCAGATTCTATTCAGACATCACAATGTAATTGATCTCAGTATACTAATATCTATATAAGTCTATATGGGGGGAGGAGGGGGGTAATAACACATACATCACAGAGTGGGGTAATTCAATCATGTAAAAGAGAGGGCGTGTTAAAAAGTTTATGGGGGGGGGGGGGGGGGGGGGGGGGGGACTGGGGGGGGGGGGGGGCTTTATTTCTTTGTATAATAGCGCGAGAGGGAGGGGGGGAGCATGTATGTTTATAGTTGATGTATTGGGGGGTCTCTCATATATCATAGAGTACATATTAGTGGGGGGGGGGGGGGGGGGTGGGGGGTGGGGGGGGGGGGGGGGGGGGGGGGGGGGGGGGGGGGGGGGGGGGGGGGGGGGGGGGGGGGTGGGGGTGGGGGGGGGGGGGGGGGGGGGGGGGGTGGGGGGGGTGGGGGGGGGGGGGGGGGGGGGGGGGGGGGGGGGGGGGGGGGGGGGGGGGGTGGTGGTGGTGGTGGGGGTGGGGGTGGTGGGGGGGGGGGGGGTGGTGGGGGTGGGGGTGGGGGGTGGTGGGGTGGGGGGGGGTGGTGTGGGGGGTGGGGGTGTGGTGGTGGGTGGGGTGGGGGGGTGGTGTGGGGTGGGGTGGGGGTGGGGGGTGTGGGGGGTGGTGGGTGGGGGGTGGGGTGGGGGGTGGGGGTGGGTTGGTGGGGGGTGGGGTGGGTGTGGGGGTGGTTGGTGGGGGGGGGGGTGGGGGGGGGGTGTGGTGGGGATGGGTGGGGTGGGGTTGGGTGGGGTGGGGGGGGGGTTGGGGGGGTGGTGGGTGGGTTGGTGGGTGGTGGGGGGTGGTGGGGGGTGGGGGGGGGGGGGGTGGGGGGGTGGGGGTGGTTGGGGGGGTGGGGGGGGGGTGGGTGGGGGTGGTGGGGGGGGTGTGGTGGGGGGGGGGGGGTGGGGGGGGGGGGGGGTGGGGGGGGGGGTGGTGTGGTGTGGGGGGGGGTTGGGGGGGGGTGGGTGGTTGGGTGGGGTTGGGTGGGGTGGTGGTGGGGGGTGGGTTGGTGTAGGGGGGGCTAATGGAAACTAACTAAGGAATCCTGAGTCGGGAGAAGCCAAGTGAGAGAGCTAAACTAAAAGGTTAATTAACGTGTCGACCTCACTAGTCTGTGTG